TGAGTCTGCTCTCTCAGGTTCTGCGTCGGCCTCGGCCTCCCACACCTTCACCCTTGACTCGGGGGCTTCTCGCTCCTTCTTTCGAGACCGCACCACACTCACGCCGCTTGGCCGGCCAGTTGCGGTCTCTCTGGCAGACCCCTCTGGGGGTCCTGTCCTTGCTCACTTCTCCACTGTCCTCCCGTGTCCGGCGGCCCCCTCTGGCACCCTGTCTGGTCTTTACCTCCCCTCGTTCTCTACGAACTTGGTGAGTGGTGCTGACCTACAGGATGCGGGGGTTCACCAGTTCACTCCTGGGAGTCAGCGGGTGACCCACTGCACGGACGCTCGGACTGGCCGACACCTGGCCACGTTTACCCGTCGGCCGGGGTCGAGCCTGTACACCCTGACCACTGCGTCTCCTCTAGTCACTGCGTCTGGTCAGGTAGCTGCGTCAGGTCAGGTGTTTGCTGCAGCGTCCAGGTCTGGTCCTGAGTCTGCCCCCTGTTCGTGTCGCCTCCTGTCTCACGAGACTCTCCTCTGGCACCACCACCTTGGTCACCCCTCCCTGCTTCGTCTCCGAGGCATGGCCTCCCGTGTCCTTGTCTCTGGTCTTCCCCGGTCCCTCCCTCCCCTTCCTCCGGGGCCTGGCCCTACCTGCGTCCCCTGTGTCGAGGGGCGGCAGCGGACTGCCCCTCACTCCTCCCAGTTTCCTCCGACAGAGGCCCCACTGCAGACGCTTCACATGGACGTGTGGGGCCCGGCCCGCGTCCGTGGACAGGGTCACGAGCGCTACTTCCTGCTGGTGGTTGACGACTACTCGCGTTACACCACAGTCTTCCCCTTGCGCAGCAAGGGTGATGTCACTGAGGTGTTGATCGACTGGATCCGCGCAGCTCGTCTCCAGCTCAGGCAGAGCTTCGGTTCGGACTTTCCTGTTCTGCGTCTGCACTCTGACAGAGGTGGAGATTTCTCCTCTGGCCTTCTGCGAGCCTACTGTCGAGCACGAGGCATCCGCCAGACCTTCACGCTTCCGGACTCTCCACAGCAAAATGGGATTGCTGAGCGCCGCATTGGCATGGTCATGGACGTCGCCCGTACGTCCATGATGCATGCGGCTGCCCCCCATTTTCTGTGGCCGTTTGCGGTTCGGTACGCGGCGCATCAGATCAACCTTCACCCTAGGGTCTCCAGACCGGAGACCTCCCCTGCTTTGCTGTGGACGGGGAAGGTTGGCGATGCGTCTGCGTTCCGTGTCTGGGGATCTCGGGCGTTTGTCCGCGACTTGTCTGCGGACAAGCTGTCCCCTCGTGCTGCTCCTTGCGTCTTCCTTGGCTTCCCCCCTGACGCGCCAGGGTGGCAGTTCTACCACCCCACCTCTCGCCGTGTTCTGTCCTCCCAGGACGTCACGTTTGACGAGTCGGTCCCCTACTACCGCCTCTTCCCCTACCGCACTCCGTCCCTCCCCCCACCACCGCTCTTCCTTGTGCCAGGTCCCCCCCCGGTAGACCCCCTCCCCCCTCAGGGTCCTGCCCCTTCAGGTGTGTCCCAGGTAGACGCAGTCGAGCCTGTCGAGGTTACTGGTGACTCTGGTGCTGCTGAGGGTGCTGAGCCTGGGGGTGCTGACTCTGGGGGTGCTGAGCGTGTGGGTGCTACGCCTGGGGGTGCTGAGCCTGAGGGTGCTACTACTGGGGGTGCTGAGCCTGGGGGTGCTGAGCCTGGGGGTGCTGAGCCTGGGGGTGCTACGCCTGGAGGTGCTGGGCCTGGGGGTGTGGAGCCTGAGGGAGCTGGGCCTGCTTGTGTGGCGTCTGGCGGTGCTGAGCCTGGAGGTTCTCCGGGTGCTTCGTCTCAGCGGGAGCCACTCTCTCCACAGGAGCTGCGCGAGTGGTTTGCCCGGCGCTGGAGGCGTGCTGCTGGAGCTGGAGGTTCTTCGGCTACTGAGGGTGCTGGTGCCGCGGGTCCCGGAGGTGCTCGTACTGGGAGTACTGGAGCTGCTGGGCCTGCGGGTACGACTGGAGCTGGAGCTGCTGAGGGTGTTGACGCTGAGGCTACTGCTGTCGGTCCTGGAGGCGGGCCTGCTGGGGGTGCTACTGGTGCTGCTGGAGGTACTGGAGCTGGAGTTGCTGCTGACGCTGGTGCTGCCGCTTGGGGTACTGGTGCTGTCCCTGCTGTGTCTGGAGTCGCCGCGCGGCCTCGGCCGTACTTCGTTCCGCTCCTTCAGCAGGTTCTTGGTCTCCCGCCTTCTACTGGCCCTCCTCCTCCCTTAGAGAGTCCACAGCCTGTCCTGTCCCAGTTACAGTTACAGCCGGCCTCCCCACTGCCCGCTCCTTCTCCCTACACTGGTCCTACTGGAGGTCTTGCTGAGCGTCGTGAGCCTGCGTCGCGTCCTGCGTCGCCTGTCCGTACTGCTCGCGCTAGTGGTCGTGGTTCGCGTCAGCGTCCTCCTCCTGTCCCTGGCACGCACCGGATGTCTCTGTGTCCGTCCACTGCTCCTCTGCGTGCCCCTTTGCCTTCTCCTCCTGAGTCCTCTCTTCCTGCTCTTCCCGACCCAGAGTCGGACTCTCTTCGTGCTGCCAGTCCTACTGTCACGCGTCTCCTTGCTACTGTCGTCACTGACCCTTCCTTTGCGTCCATTGCTGCGTCTGCCCTAGTTGCTGAGCTCGTCGACTTTGCTGCTCGCTGTCGTCTAGACTACGCTGCTTGTCTTGTCGCTGAGTCTGTGTCTGTCTGTCCTCCGTCCGTCTGGGGTGAGTGTGCCCTTGGCACGGACGTCCTTGAGGACAGGCAGGAGGAGTTCCAGTGTTTGGCTGCTGCTTCACCTCATCTCGTGTCCGTACTGCTTACCCCTGAGGGAGACCCGGATGCACTTGACATCCCGACTCCGCGCTCTTACGCGGAGGCGATAGAGGGTCCCTACTCCTCTCAGTGGCAGGCAGCTATGGACACAGAGATGGCTTCCTGGAAGTCCACAGGTACCTACGTTGACGAGGTTCCCCCGCCTGGGGCGAACATCGTCAGTGGCATGTGGATTTTCAGGGTGAAGCGGCCGCCGGGTTCTCCGCCTGTCTTCAAGGCGCGTTACGTGGCTCGTGGCTTCAGTCAGCGGCAGGGAGTTGACTACTTTCAGACCTTCTCTCCCACCCCGAAGATGACCACTCTTCGGGTACTGCTGCACATAGCTGCTCACCGCGACTACGAGCTGCACTCTCTTGACTTCAGCACTGCTTTCTTGCAGGGCAGCCTGCACGAGGAGATCTGGCTGCGTCGCCCACCTGGCTTCACTGGGTCTTTTCCTCCTGGCACCCAGTGGAGCCTCCGGCGGCCAGTCTACGGTCTCCGCCAGGCACCGCGTGAGTGGCACGACACACTGAGGACTACACTTGCGGCTCTTGGGTTTGCTCCCTCTACTGCCGACCCGTCGCTGTTTCTGCGCACCGACACTTCTTTGCCGCCGTTCTACATCCTCGTGTACGTCGACGACTTGGTCTTTGCCACAGCTGACACTGCTGGACTCGCCCACGTGAAGTCCGAGCTGCAGAAGAGACACACGTGCACAGACCTGGGTGAACTGCGCAGCTACCTTGGCTTGCAGATCACCCGGGACAGAGCACGCCGCACCATTACCCTGACTCAGTCACACATGGTGCAGCAGGTCCTTCAGCGCTTCGGCTTCACGTACTCCTCGCCTCAGGCCACTCCTCTGTCTACTCGCCACTCGCTCTCAGCTCTGCCTTCGGATGAGTCCGTAGAGTCGAGTGGCCCGTACCCAGAGCTTGTTGGCTGCCTCATGTACCTGATGACCTGCACTCGACCTGACCTCGCATACCCTCTTAGCATTCTCGCACGCTATGTTGCTCCTGGGAGACACAGACCGGAGCACATGGCTGCAGCGAAGAGGGTGTTGCGTTACTTGTGCAGTACGTCGGGCATGGGGCTTGTGCTTGGAGGGCAGAGTCCAGTGGTCCTCACTGGGCACGCAGACGCTTCTTGGGCTGACGACCAGGCTACGCAGCGGTCGTCACAGGGTTACACCTTCAGCCTTGGTTCCGGCTCTGTTTCGTGGCGGGCTACTCGCTCGTCTTCTGTTCTCGGCTCCAGTTGTGAGGCTGAGATCTACGCCGGGGCCATGGCTGCACAGGAGCTTCGCTGGCTCACCTACCTGCTGACTGACCTCGGAGAGCCGCCTCGTTCTCCTCCAGTGCTGTACGTAGACAACAAGGCCATGCTGGCCTTGTGTCGAGAGCAGAGACTGGAGCACAGAACGAAGCACATTGCTCTCCGCTACTTCCTTGCTCGTAAGCTACAGCAGCGTGGTCAGCTGCGGCTTGCGTACGTGGCCTCTCAGGCCAACACTGCTGATATCTTCACCAAGGCACTTGCGCCTTGTGATCATCAGCGCTTCTGTACTCAGCTGGGTCTTGTGCCCACCTTGCCTCACTTGCTCACCCCTTGACCTTGTTTGTACTGATGCATATATATACATATACTCCTGCTCTTGCTTGTCTAGCCTTATATATATATGTAATCCTGCATGTGAACTGGCCTTGTGGCCTTGAACTTGTGCTCGGAATGTGTGGTGACTTTGTGATCCACCCTGAGCTTGTTTTGCTGTGCTTGACTGGTCCTGTGACCCCTTGTTCTCCCCCACTTTGCCTATGGGGGTGTGTCAGATTTATATGACATAGCTATTGTAGGCTATAGTGGGGTGGCACATATGGGGTACAGTTTTCTAGGGTTTGCTTTTTGTACCCAACTTTCACTTAGTCATTTTCATTCCTCGTTTCTTCTCAGCTGCTACTACTGTTTCTGCTGCTACTGCTGCTGCTACTGCTGCTCCTGGCGGTGGCCAGATGCAGCTCCAGCGACGTCCGCGTGAGCCCCTCACGCCCCGGCAGCTTCGTGAGTGGTACGCTAGTTGGGGTTGTAGGGGTGGCCGCGCTGTTACTGCTGCTACTGCTGTTACTGCTGCTACTGCTGCTACTGCGGCTACTGCTGCTACTACTGCTCCTGGCGGTGGCCAGATGCAGCTCCAGCGACGTCCACGTGAGTCCCTCACGCCCCAGCAGCTTCGTGAGTGGTACGCTAGTTGGGGTTATAGGGGTGGCCGTGGTGGGAGTCGCCCTGGAGCGGGTCGTTCGCGAGCTTCTTGTAGTGACCAGGTGCAACGGCAGCGGCGTCCGCGCGCGGTCCTTTCGCCCCAGCAGCTTCGTGAGTGGTACGCTCAGAGTGGAGGGTCACGGAGTACTGCTCGCTGCCCGTACGTCCTTCGCACTGGTGCTCGGGCTGGTCAGCCTTGCGAGACGATTGGTCACACAGAGTCCCGCTGCTTCTCCCGTCTGAGCGACGCCTGGCGTACAGAGTTTGGCGACGCGGCTGAGCTCCCCGACTGGGTGGAGCTGCTTAGGCAGAGGGTAGATATCTTTACTCTTGACTATGATGCTATCCTCACTGCCATGTATGCGTTGTCTACTAGTGCTGAGGGTGCCTGTTACCTGTGTGTGCCGCCTGACCCAGGTATAGAGTCTGCTGCTCTAGGTGCTGGTGAGGCTGCTGCTCTAGATGCTAGTGCGTCTCCTGCTCCAGGTGCCGGTGAGGCCGCTGCTCTAGGCACTAGGGAGTCCACTCCTCCAGGTGCTGGTGAGTCTGCTCTCTCTGGTACTACGCCTGCTGCGGCCTTGCACACTTTCACCCTTGACTCGGGTGCTTCCCGCTCCTTCTTTCGCGACTGCACCACACTCTCGCCGCTCAGTCGGCCAGTGGCAGTATCTCTGGCTGACCCCTCTGGGGGTCCGGTCCTTGCACACTCCTCTACGGTCCTGCCGTGTCCGGCGGTCCCGTCTGGCTCTCTGTCTGGCCTCCACCTCCCCTCGTTCTCCACGAACTTGGTGAGTGGAGCTGACCTTCAGGACGTGTGGGTTGACCAGTTCACTCCTGGAGGTCAGCGGGTGACCCACTGTTCGTGTACTCGGACGGGCCGGCACCTGGCCACGTTCACCCGTCAGCCTGGGTCGAGCCTGTACACCCTGACTACCGTGTCTCCTCCGGTTGCTGAGTCTGGTCGGGTAGCCGCGTCGGGTCAGGTGTTTGCTGCAGCGTCCCGGTCTGGCCCTGAGTCTGCCCCCTGCTCGTGTCGCCTCCTGTCTCACGAGACTCTCCTTTGGAACCACCGCCTTGGTCACCCCTCCCTGCCTCGTCTCCAAGGCATGGCCTCCCGTGTCCTTGTCTCAGGTCTCCCCCCTTCCCTCCCTCCCCTTCCTCCGGGGCCTGCCCCTACCTGCGTTCCCTGCGTCGAGGGCCGGCAGCGCGCCGCTCCTCACTCCTCCTAGTTTCCTCCGACAGAGGCTCCCCTGCAGACTCTTCACATGGACGTGTGGGGCCCAGCCCGCGTCCGTGGACAGGGTCACGAGCGTTGGTTGTTGACGACTACTCGCGTTACACCACGGTCTTCCCCTTGCGCCGCAAGGGTGAGGTCACTGAGGTGTTGATCGACTGGATCCGCGCTGCTCGTCTCCAGCTCAGAGAGAGTTTCGGCTCGGACTTTCCTGTTCTACGTCTGCACTCAGACAGAGGTGGAGAGTTTTCCTCCGACCTTCTGCGAGCTTTCTGTCGGGCGGAGGGCATCCGCCAGACGTTCACGCTTCCGGCCTCTCCACAGCAAAATGGGATTGCTGAGCGCCGCATTGGCATGGTCATGGATGTCGCTCGTACGTCCATGATCCATGCGGCTGCTCCCCATTTTCTGTGGCCGTTCGCGGTTCAGTACGCGGCGCATCAGATCAACCTCCAGCCCCGGGTCTCCATGCCGGAGACCACCCCCACTCTGCGGTGGACGGGGAAGGTTGGCGATGCGTCTGCGTTCCGTGTCTGGGGATCTCGAGCTTTCGTCCGCGACTTGTCTGCGGACAAGCTGTCCTCCCGTGCCGTTCCCTGCGTCTTCCTTGGCTTCCCCCCTGACGCGCCTGGTTGGCAGTTTTACCACCCCACCTCGCGCCGTGTTCTGTCCTCTCAGGACGTCACGTTTCACGAGTCGAATCCTTACTACCGTCTCTTCCCCTACCGCACTGCCCCTCTCCCCCCCCCGCAGCTCTTCCTCGCGCCAGGTACTCCTCCGGTAGACCCCCTCCCCCCTCAGGGTCCTGCCCCCTCAGGTGTGTCTCAGGTAGACACAGTCGAGCCTGTTGAGGTAGCTGTTGACTCTGGTGCTGCTAGGGGTGCTGAGCCTTGGGGTGCTGAGCCTGGGGTTGCTAAGTCTGGGGGTGCTGAGCCTGGGGGTGCTGAGCCTGGGGGTGCTGAGCCTGGGGTTGCTGAGTCTGGGGGTGCTGCGCCTGGGGGTACTGTGTCTGGGGGTGCTGAGACTGGAGGTCCTCCGAGTGTCCCGTCGTGGCGGGAGCCCCTCTCTCCACGGCAGCTTCGTGAGTGGTACGCTCGGCACTGTAGCCGTGCTGCTAGAGCTGGGGGGCCTGCTGCTGGAGACGCTGCTGGTGCTGGAGCTGCTGGAGGTGCTGCTGGTGCTGGAGCTGCTGGAGGTGCTGCTGGTGCTGGAGCTGCTGGAGCCGCTGGTCCTGGAGGTGCTAGTGCTGGAGGTACTGGCGCTGCTGGAGGTCCTGCTGGTGTTGGAGCTGCTGGCGGTGCTGGAGCCACTGGTCCTGGAGGTGCTCGTACTGGAGGTACTGGAGCTGCTGGGACTGGAGCTGCTGCGGGAGTTGGAGCTGGCGGTACTGGAGCTGTTGGAGCCGGTGGTGCTGCGGGAGTTGTAGCTGGAGACCCTAGAGCTGAGGGTGCTGGTGCTGTCTCTGCTGGTTCAGGAGGCGCTGCGCGGCCGCGGCCGTACTACGTTCCGCTCCTTCAGCAGGTTCTTGGCCTCCCGCCTTCTACTGTTCCTACTCCTCCCCTACTGAGTCCACCGCTGGTCCAGTCGCAGTCACAGTTACAGCCAGCCTCTCCACTGCCTGGTCCTTCTCCTTACTCTGGACCGACTAGAGGTCTTACGGAGCGTCGTGAGCATGAGTCTCGTCCTGCGTCGCCTGAGTCTCGTCCAGATTCGCCTGTCCGCGCTGTCCGCACTGGTCGTCGTGTTCCGCGTGAGCGTCCTCCTCCTGTCCCTGGCACTCACTATATGACTCTGCGTCCTTCCACTGCTCCACATCGTGTCCCTCTGCCGTCTCCTCCTGCGTCCTCTCTTCCTGACGGTCCGGACCCGGAGTCTGACTCCCTTCGTGCTGCCAGTCCTACTGTCACGCGTTTCCTCGCTACTGTTGTCACTGACCCTTCCTTTGAGTCCACTGCTGCGTCTGCTCTAGTGGCTGAGCTTGTTGACTTTGCTGCCGCCTGTCGTCTAGACTACGCCGCTAGCCTTGTTGCTGACTTTGAGTCTGTCTGTCCTCCGTCCGTCGGGGGTGAGTGTGCTCTTGGCACGGACGTCCTTGAGGACAGACAGGAGGAGTTTGAGTGCTTTGCCGCTGCTTTACCTCATCTCGTGTCCATGCTGATTGCCCCTGAGGGAGACCCGGATGCACCAGACATCCCGACCCCGCGCTCTTACGCAGAGGCGATAGAGGGTCCCTACTCCTCTCAGTGGCAGTCAGCCATGGACGCAGAGATGGCTTCCTGGAAGTCCACAGGCACCTACGTCGACGAGGTTCCCCCGCCTGGGGCGAACATCGTCAGTGGCATGTGGATTTTCAGGGTGAAGCGGCCGCCGGGTTCTCCGCCTGTCTTCAAGGCACGTTACGTTGCACGAGGCTTCAGTCAGCGTAAGGGAGTTGACTTCTTCCAGACCTTCTCCCCTACCCCGAAGATGACCACTCTTCGGGTTCTGCTGCACGTCGCCGCTCAGCGTGACTACGAGCTCCACTCTCTTGACTTCAGCACTGCATTCCTACAGGGCAGCCTGCACGAGGAGATCTGGCTGCGCCGCCCACCTGGCTTCACTGGGTCGTTTACTCCTGGTACCCAGTGGAGCCTCCGGCGGCCAGTCTACGGTCTCCGCCAGGCACCCCGTGAGTGGCACGACACACTGAGGACGACTCTTGCTGCTCTTGGGTTTGCTCCTTCTACTGCTGACCCGTCGCTGTTTCTACGCACCGACACCACTCTGCCGCCGTTCTACGTTCTCGTGTACGTAGACGACCTGGTCTTTGCTACTGCTGACACTGAGGCACTCGCCCACGTGAAGTCGGAGCTGCAGAAGAGACACACGTGCACAGACCTGGGTGAGCTGACAAGCTATCTTGGCTTGCGGATCACCCGGGACAGAGCACAGTGCACCATTACCTTGACTCAGTCACACATGGTGCAGCAGGTCCTTCAGCGCTTCCGCTTCACGTACTCCTCGCCACAGTCCACTCCTCTGCCTACCGGTCACTCGCTCTCAGCTCCACCTTCGGACGAGTCCGTAGAGCCGAGTGGCCCGTATCCAGAGCTTGTGGGCTGCCTCATGTACCTGATGACCTGCACTCGACCTGACCTAGCCTACCCTCTTAGTATCCTAGCACGCTATGTCGCTCCTGGCCGACACAGGAAGGAGCACATGGATGATGCTAAGAGGGTGTTGCGCTACTTGTGCAGTACGTCGGGCATGGGGCTCGTGCTTGGAGGACGGGCTCCAGTTGTCCTCACTGGTCACACAGACGCTTCTTGGGCTGACGACTTGGCTACGCAGCAGTCGTCACAGGGTTACACCTTCAGCCTTGGCTCCGGCTCTGTTTCTTGGCGGTCTACCCGCTCGTCTTCTGTTCTCAGCTCCAGTTGTGAGGCTGAGATCTACGCAGGGGCCATGGCTGCACAGGAGTTACGCTGGCTCACCTACCTGCTGACCGACCTTGGAGAGCCGCCTCGTTCTCCTCCAGTGCTGTACGTCGAAAACAAGGCCATGATTGCCTTGTGTCAGGAGCACAGACTGGAGCACAGAACGAAGCACATCGCTTTGCGCTACTTCCTTGCTCGAGAGTTGCAGCAGCGTGGTCAGCTTCGTCTTGCTTACGTGGCCACTCGGGCCAACACTGGTGATGTGTTCACCAAGGCCCTTCAGCCTTGTGATCATCAGCGTTTCTGTACTGTTCTAGGCCTTGTGCCTACTGTGCCTCACTTGCTTACTTCTTGACTCTGCTTGTACTGTGATCTCTATACATATACCTGCATGCTTACACTTGCTAGGTTGTGATCACTGTATTGCTTTTCTCCTTTATATAACTCTGCATGTGAACTGGCCTTGTGGCCACTTGCTTGTGCTTAGACTGCGTGGTGACGTCGTGATCCACCCTGAGTTTGCTTTGCTTTGCTTGACTGGTCTTGTGACCTCTTGTTCTCTCCCACTTTGCCTATGGGGGTGTGTCAAACATTGCATGTTTCTACTTTGTAGGCTGTAGTGGGGCTCACCTTAGAGGGGACACAACTTAGGGTTTCCTACTTCTATCCCCCTTCATTCCTAATTCAAACCATTCCTCGTTCTTATTGTCACACCTCTCAGTGGCAGACAGCCATGGACGTAGAGATGGCATCCTGGAAGTCCACAGGCACCTACGTCGACGTGGTTCCCCCTCCTGGGGCGAACATAGTTGATGGCATGTGGATTTTCAGGGTGAAGAGGCCGCCGGGCTCTCCGTCTGTCTTCAAGGCTCGTTACGTTGTACGAGGCTTCAGTCAGCGACAGGGAGTTGACTTCTTCTAGACCTTCTCCCCTACCCCGAAGATGACCACTCTTCGGGTACTGCTGTACGTTGCCGCTCAGCGTGACTACGAACTTCACTCTCTTGACTTCAGCACAGCTTTCCTATAGGGCAGCCTGCACGAGGAGATCTGGTTGCGCCGTCCACCTGGGTTCACTGGGTCGTTTCCTGCAGGTACCCAGTCGAGCCTCCGACGGCCAGTCTACGGTCTCCGCCAGGCGCCTCGTGAGTGGCACGACACACTGAGGACGACACTTGCAGCACTTGGGTTTGCTCCTTCGACTGCAGACCCGTCGCTGTTTCTCCGTACCGACACTTCGCTGCCGCCGTTCTACATCCTCGGGTACGTCGACGACTTGGTTTTTGCCACTACTGACACTGAGGCACTCACCCTTGTGAAGTCGGAGCTGCAAAAGTGACACACCTGCACTGACCTGGGTGAACTGCGCAGCTATCTTGGCTTGTAGATCACCTGGGACAGAGCACGACGCACCATCACCCTGACTCAGTCACACATGGTGCAGCAGGTCCTTCAGCGCTTCGGCTTCACTTGGTCCTCGCCACAGTCCACTCCTCTGGCTACCGGTCACTCGCTCTCAGCTCCACCTTCGGACGAGTCCGTAGAGCCGAGTGGCTCGTACCCAGAGCTAGTGGGCTGC